CTACACAGCAATTAGGCAAGGAAAAGAAATAAAAGGCAGCCAAATTGTAAAGCAAGAACTGAAATTATCTCTGTTTGCAAACATGATCTTATATGTAGAAAATCCTAAAGATTCCACGCAAAATAACAGCAAAAGTTAAAATAAATTCAGCAAAGTTGACAGATACAAAATCAACATGCAAAATCAGATGCATGTTTATACACTAACAATGAACAATCTGAAAAAGAAAATAAGCCCTGGCTGAGTGGTTCAGGGAGCATTGTCCCAGATACCAAAAGTTTGTGGATTTGATTATTGATCAAGGCACATACTTAGGTGGCTGTTTAATCCTTGGTCCCTGGTTGGCGTGGGTGGGAGGCAACTGATCAATATTTCTCTCTCACATCGCTGATTCTCACTTTCCCCCACTCTCTTCCTCTCTGTCTAAAATCAGTAAAATCATAACCTTAGGTGAGAATAAAAAAGAAAAGAAATTTCATTTAAATAAATGAAAAAGAAAATAATCCTATTTATGATAGCATTACAAAGAATAAATTATTTAAGAATAACTTAACCAAGGAGGCAAAAAACTTGTACATTAAAAACTGCAAAACACTGCTGACAGAAATTAAAGATGACACACATTAACGGAAAGATAACCCATGTTCATAAATTGGAAAACTTAATATCCATACTACCCAAAGTGATCTATAGATGCAATGCAATTCCTATGTAAATCTCAGTGACATTTTTGGGAGAAATAAGAAAAAAAAAAATCCTAAAATTTATATCTAAAATCCAAATCACATGGGACCCCAAATAACAAAGTTTGAAGACTCACACTTTCTAATTTTAAATATTACAAAGTTACAGTAATCAAAAAAATAATATTGGCATAAAAACAGATGTGTAAAACAATGGAACAGAACAGAGAACCCAGAAATAAATCCTGGCATATATAATTAAATGATCTTCAATAAGGATGTCAAAATAACACAATTGGGGAAAGACTCAAAATGAATTAAAGACCTAAATGTAGCCGAAACCAGTTTGGCTTGGTGGATGGAGCATGCGTGCGGACTGAAAGGTCCCAGGTTCAATTTCAGTCAAGGGCATGTACATTGATTGAGGGAACATCCCCAGTGGGGGAATGTGCAGAAGGCAGCTGGTCGATGATTCTCTTTCATCGATGTTTCTAGCTCTCTATCCCTCTCACTTCCTCTCTGTAAAAAAATCAAAAAAAAAATTTTTTTTTTTTAAAAAGACCTAAATGTAAAATCTAAAACTGTAAAACTTCTAGCTGAAAACACATGGGAAAAGCTTCATGGCACTAGATTTGGTAATGATTTCGTGGAGATAATCCGAAAGTAGAGGCATCAAAAGCAAAAACAGATAAATGGAATGACAGCAAACATAAAAACTTCTGTGCACCAAATAATACAATCAACATAGTGAAAAGGCAATCTATAAAATGGGAGAAAATATTTGCAAGTCATATATCTCATGAGGGACTAAACAATCCCTAAATTCAGCAACATAAAACCAAATATCCTGCCTTTTTAAAAAAATGGTCAAAGAACTTAGACATTTCTCCAGAGAAGATAAATGACCAAGATATTCAACATCAGTCAACATTAGAGAAATGAAAATCAAAACTGCTAGATGCCATATCTCACATATTAGGATGGCCCCTATTAAAACACACACACACAGAAAATTAGTGTTGGTGAGGATGTGGAATATTTGGAGCCCTTGTACAGTTGGTGGGAATGTAAAATGGTACAGCCAATATGAAAAATAGTCTAGAGGTTCCTCAAAAACATTAAAAATAGAATTACCATATGATCCAGCAATCCCACTTCTGAGTATACTAGTGGCCTGGTACACAGATTCGTGCACATCGAAAGGAAATTAATTAGAAGAAATAGTTTAGTATTGCTATTCACCCTTTCCCTATAATAGAAGTGTCAATCAAATTTATGACGGACAATGACAGATCAAAACACACATGTGCAACTGCCTCCATTGAGAGCTTTATATGCGCAAGTCAAATTAGCCTTTTATAGATATAGAATAAACTTGCTTAATTAGACCTGCTTTCTGATGTAGCTAAACTATTTCCAGCCTAGTGAAGCAACCCAACTTCTCTTTCAGGTAATTGTCAACAACACAGCAATAAATGTCAATATGACGCATAATTATTATTATAGATCACACAGGGAGAGTAAAGGGTTAAATATTTAACTGCAGCAGTGTTTGACTATATTTTGTGCAGTGAGAAAACCTGAAGTCATTTTCAAGGCCCACCATTTTTTTACTTCTTTTCAGTCGGGTCAAGTTTAACTTTCTAAATCTCCATTTTCCAGCTAATAAAAAGAAAACAGGATTCCACCCAGTCTCCTATCTACCAACTCCAGGACTTCTGTGAGGATCAAATGAGATGAGGCACAGAAAACATTTGGTTAAAGTGTGAAATGTTTGCACCTGGCTATAAAGCAAGTCGTGTTCTTGGGCTGAAGAAATTGCAAGGAGGCTAGTCATTACTAGGGAGAGGAAGCCGGGCATTGCTACATGAGGTTATTACCCAGGGCCCACAGTGACCATTTCCGGGCTGGGCTGTGGGCCACATTTTGTATCGTGGGGTCTCGGCAGTGTTGGCTGTAATTTGGTGGGCTGTCCCTCCGTGGTGGTGATGGGGCCTGTGTCCTACTTGGGGGAAGCTGAGTGTTGCCTTGTGGGGACCAGGTCCACAGTGCCAGTGCGCATCATCATAGTAACCAGTCAAATGGTCAAACACTTAGCATATTAGCCATATATATATGTATAAGCCTGAAAGAACTGAAAACAAGATCTCAAAGACACAGCTGCATACCCTAGTTCATTGTATTAGCATTAGTCACACTAGCCAAGAGGTTAAAACAACCAAAATATCCATCAGCAGATGAATGGATAAAGAAAAAGTAGTATATACATAACAATTATTAGTCAGCCTTAAAAAAAAAAAAAAAAAAAAAAAAAAAAAAAAAAGAGGAAAAGTCTGTCATATGCCACAACATGGATGAAAATTAAGGATATTATACTAAAAAAATAAGCAAGTGTCATGTGATCCCATTTATATTCTAAAGTAGTTAAACTAACAGACACAAAGTAGGAGGGTGGCTGCCAGGGCTGGGGGAGGAGGAAATGCAGAGTTGTTGTTCAGTGGATAGAGAGCTTCAGTTTTGCAAGATGAACAAATTCTGGGGATTTACTGCATAACATTGTGAATGTACCAATACCACCGAACTGGGTACTTAAATAAAAAAAAAAATGAGGCCTCCAATGCTGGAGACTTAACGGGACAAGAAATTACTGTGGCGCCTCTAAAAGACATCCTGAACAGAGGACGTGGTTATTTCCTCAAATCTTCGTTCTCCTGATAAAAGAAACGGCAGTAACTTCAGTGGGGGAAGGTTCTCCCTGATGGCACTTGCCAAGAACTACAATGGGTGCCCCTGTAAAGGAAACCCTAATTCCTACCATGGCAGAAGGTGTAAGGAGCTGATAAGGAGAAAACCCCAGGCCCCAAATGGTGTCACTCATGCCCAAGATACCAAATCCAAATGTAAGACCTGCTCCAACTGCAGTTTCAACTTTGCCCAGAAACATAATCTTAATTACGCAGAATTTCTGGTCAAGAACCAGTTAACTGTCACATGACCTTCTCCATCCCCCATACATAGAAGAGGCATGATTGAACCCTTCCCATTCTCTTCCACCACTATCCCTCCCCAAAAAACATCCTGGAGCAAAATGAATCCTTTATTTTGTTACTAGCTTCCTCCCTTCCCCCCCTTATACATCCCTTCAGAGCAGTCTTCTCGCTGCTAGATGGGGTGCTTGCTGCATGTCTTGGAATCTCTGAATTCATTAGATCTTCAAGTTTATTCAGTTGAATTTTGTTTTTTTAACAGAGCCTTTCCTTGAGGACTCAAGCGTAGTCAGAAAAGGGAGAAAAAGGCAAACACCATATGCTTCTTATTCCGATTGTTAAAGCTTTCCTCCACCCTTTTCCTTTTTATCTATTACCACCTTTAAGCTCCTCAGGCCTGTTCTTTATACACTAGCTAATGGAATTGCTTAGCACTGAGGATACTTAGAGAGCAAGGGGGGAATGTTCCATCTTCTCTACAACTGCAAAATACTAGACACTGTGCTGCACCATAAAATTATCCAAGCATCAGTGCGGATCTCCTTTCTAACGTGGAGACCATCACAAAGCCTCGCCGCTCTGTCTTCAGTTTGATAAGCAGTCACTGAACACACCTGGATCGCAGAGAGACTTGCTATGTACTTAAGATGTAGCCCTTAATCCCCCAAAAGCCTGTCAATTGATTGGTTCTTTTAATAACCTGCATAATTTTTTATGCAAAACTCTGTTTATTTAAATCTTATTACCATATGAAATCAGAAGAGGAGCGCAGGCACTTTCTCCTCCCTCTAGGCCTGAAGACTGATAAAACCGGGGCTCTGCAGAATTCCTTATTTAAACAAAAGGTTTGAAAGTCTTTGTCTCATTCAAATTAACCCAGGCTAAAGGGTCAGATGAGGGAAGTCACTGAGGTTGGAGGAAGCAGATTCAGTAACTGTCCAGCAACCAGAGTGATGAGACCCAGAGGCTATAGTAAGAAAGTGAAGGAGTAAAACCGCAAGGAGCCTGAGTTCCAATCCCTGCCTACTATTGCAGGAGACTTCTCTCTCTCTAGGCTGGGCCTTAAGTTTTTCCCCTTCCCATCTACCAACTATGATCTACATCTGCTGCAGCATCAGTGCTAGTAGCTCCACATACGTAGTTCCATTTTATAGAACTGGTTACAAGAAGCCTTTGTCTTCATGGTTTCAACGCCTGTTTTTCTTTTTACACCATAATGTTTTATAGAGACAAGCCCAGCTGAATGAGATTTTAACCTTCGGCCCTTTGGACAGTTTTGCTGTGGGAGGTGAAGGTGGGGGTGGGTGGCAGGGGGCTCCCCGATATTTACCAGTGTTTTTCATACATCCAATGGCCTCCCCATGACAGCAGGCAGATTCCAGCTATAGTTTTCTTCCAGTGGTTTCGAAGTTTTGTAAAGAACATAGTCATCTTCTAGAGATTTGCTAGGTAACAGAGGCAGAAAAAGAAAAAAATAAACATGATTATTCAAGGTCAGCATGCACAGTCCCTACGAATCAGTCTTCCATTCGTTCATCCTCTCCCTGTCCCCCTTCCCTTGCTCTCTTCCTTCTTGTAGCCTCTCTGGCCTCTTCCCATCTAGTCTCACAGTCTTCATCTCCTCATCTGCCCCCCTACCTTTTAAAATTTCTTTCTTTACTTCTTCTCACCTAAAACTACATTGTTTCCTTCTCTGATCACTTTTACCTTAGGAGGCAGGAGGGGCAGAAAAAAGGAGGAGGACATTCTAAGCTTCTTGTTTTTCTTTTCTTCTTACAGTCTCTGTGAGAGTATTTGTCACTCTATTATATGTATACTAGAGGCCTGGTGCACGAATTTGTGCACTGGTGGGGTCCCTAGGCCTGGCCTGCGCCTTCGCACAATCCAGGACCCCTTAGGGGATGTCAGACTGCCAGTTTCAGCCTGATCCCGCAGGAGTCTAAAGGGGTCTGAGGAAACGGTAGAAGTGGAAAGGTAACTCTGACCTCTTCCCCTACCTCACCAACTAGCCTGAAACCAGTCAAAAAATCCTGGGAGAGGTGCCCTCTCTTTACCTAGGAAAAGAGCATCCTTCTCTCCCAAGACAAAGGGATGCCAAGAAGAATCCTAGCAAGCAGCCCCTGCTAAGTTTCTGATTTAGGACAGTTACCTCAGACTACTTATGCGTTCATATCTCCCACTCCTTCTCAAATCTACCACAAAATACTCAGGTTTGTCTGTTTGGGTGTTCAATTTCTTTTGAAGGCTCCTGTGTCACATAAAACTCATTAATAAATGTGCATGCTTTTCTCCTGTTAATCTGTCTATCAGGTGAATTTACAGACCCCCAGCTAGGACCCTATGAGGGTCAAGTAGAACTATTTCCTCCCCTACAGTAAATTTTTCTTCACTAAGAATTTTTACTGATGTAGAAAGAACTCAAAACACAATGTTAAGTAAAAGCAGCAAGCTAAAAAGCAATATATAATTGGTATTATCCCAATTATGTCCAAGCACAAATATAAATGGAAAAAATACCATTAGAAATAAACACAAAAAAATTGAAGTAGTTTGCTCTTGTTTGTGGGATAATGGGCCACATTCATTTTATTTATTAAATTGCAATGTGTTTCTAAGTTTTCTAAAATAAACATACATCATTTTCTAAACAGATAAATATTTAAGCAGAAAAAATTTTATGACTGTGTGTGCATGCGGTAAATAAACTAAGAAAAGAGGGGGGGAAAAAAAACCTGCTTTCACTGAAAATTCTAGTTCTCTTATTACTCCCTCTAACCACAGACAAAGACTCTCTTCTTGGCCTAACTCTAACCAGGTTCCTCTGAGCTCTCTGCTGGAGGAGGCCCAGCCTTTGGCTTCCCTCTGTCCTAATAGAATCCAGTTTGAATAAGAATTTTGTTAGGTTAGGTAAGCGCGCGCCCCCCCCCACCCCCCCAAAAAAAACCAAACATACCATTGGTTTCTGACCACCCAGGAAAGAATTCTGTTGAGTCATTGTAATAAGAATCCCTTATCTCTGATATTCTAAGTAATTTTTCACTCACTGACCTCCACCTGGTTCTTGGCTACCAACCCCACCCATCCTCAGTGGTGGGAGCTGAGTCTAATCTTCTTCACCTACGCCAAGATGCCCATTACAGTGTTCTCTACATCCATGGAGACGCCTCCCCCCCCCACCCCTTGAGTAAAGTCTGCCCTACCATTCTTTAACAAGTGTTACTAAATAATTTTTTCCCCCAATTTAACCAATTCACCATTGGTTAAAATTCCTCCGAAGACAAGAATGAGACTAGGCCAGAAATAATGAGCCTAGGCCAGAAAACACAGCCTCCTATGAATCAGGGACACAGTCAAGGCTAGCTCATAATGGAACCCAAAGGCACATCTGATAACAGACTGGAGGTGACACAGTGGTGCATGGCAGGGAAGTCTTCCCAGAAGGCATGACATTACACTGAGTCCAAAGAATGAGGAGGAGTTACCACGAAAGGAGTTAAAGAGTCTAATGAGCACAAAGACACAAAAAATACCAAAGTGTGTTCTGGGAAATACAAATAGGTAGTCAGTATAGATAAAGGAGAGGGTAAATATGGGAGAATATTTTGAACAAGGCCTCTCTAGTGCCAGTGTAAAAGTTGCTAAAATGCTGAGAACTTGTATAAAATGCAGATGGTTGAGCATTAGCCCCGAGATCCAGATTTGTTCTGGTTGGGCTGATCATTGTCATTTTTAACAAGTACACAGGAGTCTCTAATGGAAGTCAGCACCACACCGTACTTTGAGAAACACTGGTTGGGAGATAAAGGAGGTTCAGAAAAGATCAGGAAGGGCCTTGAATCCATGGCGAGGGACTTGGGATTTTATGTTGAAGATGATGAAACCTTGAAGGGACTTCAGCAAGTGAGTGATATGATTATATTTGAACTGTAGAAACATCATTTTGGCGCAGAATGAAAACTAGACTGGATAAGGTTGAGTTTAAACTAGAGAGAGCCAGTAGGAAGTTATTACCATAACCTCCAGTCACCAAAAGGAAGGAAGGAGCAACAGATGTAGAGGATGGATTTAGGAAATCTTTATAAAATAGAATTTGGCAGCACTTGGTGATAGATTAATTGTAAGAGGTGAGAGAGGAGGAATCAAGCCAAGATCGCACCTGGGTGACTAATTGTATAATAATGATTTCAATCCTTATATTTGGTAGTATGTGCACTTTAGGACATACTAAGTTTGAGATGCTGCAGGGCATCCAAGTAGAAACATCAGTGGTTTGGACTTAGCAGTTTGAAGCTAGGAGAAATTGTCAGGGTAGAAGGTAGGAATTTGGGACTCTTGGCTATGAAGGTCATATTTGAGTGCAGATAAAGTCATCCGGAGGTTAGGGAGCGAGAAACATCTAAGAGTCCCTATTCTGTTTAAAGGTCATTTATAACCCAATAAATAATTCATATATTATAAAAACAAAACAAAATAAACAAAAAACCAACTAGAAACAAAAAGGCTGCCCAGCGTATTGTAATGAGCACTGGTTCAAGGGCCCCGAGGCCTAGATTCCAGTCCAGGCTTTGTCACTTACTGGCAGTGAGAGCCTGGGTGGGTCCTGTAGCATCTGCCCCTATGTCCTCATTAGTAAAAGGAGGATATGCCACCTGTCCTAATGAGCTCATCAGGCTATAAGGATCGCATCTTATAGGGCTGCGAATGTACTTTCCTCATTAATAAATGAGGATATACCACCTGTTCTGATTAACTAATTAGGCTGTAAGGATCACATCTGATGGGGCTCTGAGAATGCATTCTGCATATTTTTCTGTAAGCATTTATATTGTCATCCCAATGTGCAATATATTAGCTAGCAATGTACACCCCTTCCAAGTACTCTACACAGTTCTCCAGTGTCAGTAAAAGTCTAAATGTTATATGTTCTGATAAACATCCCTTGTCTGAAAAGCAGAGTTGGGCTTCCCCAATCCCCCTAAAAAACTGCTAAAATCTGTACTCGACCTCCTCACCTGTAAGGCGGGGCTTGCTCTCACTAGACGTGAACCCCTCACAGGCTGGTTTGGCCTATGCACCTCTATCGAACAGAACCTAGCAAAGCACCTGGAATGAATGAACCAACCAATCGATCAGAATTATTCACCCTATTTTGCAAACGACTACGCCGAAGCCCCAAGGAAGACAGTGAGTAAGGGTCACACTAGCTACCGACAGCTCTGGGACCAGAACCCCGGCCGGCGGACTCCCACCGTGACCACCGGGGACCCCCCATCTGCGCGAAGCCCTGCCCCCGACACTGGACACTGGCGCTGGGCCTTCCGGGCGCCGCCGCACCCGCGGCCCCGAAGCCGGGTCCCCTCGGCCTGCCGAGCGCGACTCCGACCCGCCGCCCGGGCTCCGCTCACGCCCAGTCTCCAGGGCCGTGCTCCTCCCGCGCCAGCGCCGCCGTACTCACCGCCGCGGTCCGCTCCGCGCCTGCCTTCCGGTGTGCGCCCTCCAGATCCCTCCGCTCATTTGAGGGAAACCGCTGCCGACGCCCTCGGGTTCCGCCCCGGGCTTCTGCCGCAAGGAGTGCGGAGTGCAAAGGCCACCACCTGGGGGCTTCATTTTTCATTCACTTATTTATTCCTCCACCCAGCCTGCCATCCACCCAGCCGTTGCTCAATGATATTTTCTGGAAAGCCTTCCAAGGCAAACACAATTTTAGGACCTGGCATACATCAAGGAAATAACTCAATGAACAAGGCAATGTTAGATAGTGCTAAGGGCCGCAAGGAAACGGAACCAGGTGATATAAAGGGAGCGGGGTGCAGGTGAACTATTTTAAATTAGGCGAAGTTAGGCCTCTCTGAGTGAGTGGTAATTAATCTGAGGCCTGAAAGGGGAGGAGAAGCAGGTCAAACAAAGATCCAGGGGAACAGAGAGCCCAGGGGAGGGAACAGCCAGAGCAAAACTCTAAAGCCCGAGGCAGTTTGGCAGGTCAGGGGTCATTGCGGGTGAAGTCAAGGGAACTATGGGTAAAGGGTAGCAAAGAAGCTGGAGAGATGGGCAAGGTGGTAAGGGGTTCGGACATTATCCCAAATGGGATGGGAAGGCATTCAGACCAAGGAACGATGTGATCTGGTTTACATTTTACACGTCCTTCTGGCCACAGTATAGTGAATGATTCTAGGAAACAAGTTGCCCATAAACCAGCCGCTCTCATTCTCAGTTTCTCTCCCCACCACCAACCCATTCAGTCCAGTCTTCTTTCCTGCCTCCTTCAGTTCATCATTCTGTCAACACAACATTTGCTAATGTGTTCCTGCAATGCACCAGGCATGCACTCCAGAACAGCACCCCTCAGGCTCCGCCCCCTAGGGCTTGCAACCTGGTTCCCCTATTTACAAGCTGCATTACAGCTCAGCTTCTCCCTCTGCCCAGTCCTGCTT